GTGATTCCTTCTACTTAATACTTACTTTTTTTTTTTTTTTTTTTTTTTTTCCCCCCTGAGATGATAGTCTCTTGGGATGTAGGAGGACATAACATTTTTGGTAATAAAATTTCACCCTAACTTTCTCTAAATGGTCTTAATATTGTAATAACTGACATTGTAGTTAAGTACCACATCTCTAATTTCAGTGATATTGAGTACAAGCAGAGCAATCAAAACCAGTGCAAGACACCAAGTTTTGAAAGTTTGGATGCTTCCAAAACCTTTCTGTCTTGCCCTTTCCCTTCCCTCTGCTTTTCTGCTGATGACTCCTACTCTGCCCACTATGTTACTTTACTCAGACCTTAAAAGGAGTGAGTGAATGGGAAAGCTGCGGTTGAAGATGAGAGAGGATCCTTGTTTCCCTTAGCAGCTAGTGATGCAGGTACAATGAAACTTAAAATTTTCATGCCGTTGCAGTAGGGCCACCTCGTATGCTGTCAGTCTGCAAGTCACCAGTGACACTGCTGTTCATTGCAGATCTTTTGCCAAAGACACCTTTCCTCCAAATAGGAACGTCAGTACTGGTTCTCACGTTTGGAGTTCTGATCTTGGTGGTTGAGGTCTGGTGCTAATAGTGATTCAGTATCTTACCTCTGAAATTTGACTGGCTAGCTAAGTGCCTCTGAGTGACCTATGCAGGTCAAAATTGAAAAGTCGATTAACTGTGTCCTGTTTTAAATTATAGAAATTTACAGTACTAAATGTCCCTGTATTTTTGTGGTAGTATGCTCACAGCCATTTTAAATGACCATTCAAGAAACCTAGCAAAGTTTAATCGATGGGTTTTTTTATTTCTGAGGTTTACAAACTAGCTTTATGATATTAATACATGAGACCAATATATTTTAGGAACCCTGAGTGTAGTATGCTACTTTTGAGATGGCTGCTTTATTTGAGGGAAAAAAACAAACCACCATATAAACACACACCCACACCCTCTGCCAATGTTTTAATACTCTTCAAGGAAAGTATAGGAAATTATTTTCAGCCACTCTTAAAGTACTGAGAATTGGATTAATCTTGTTTTTTACTTTTTTGGCTAGTTACATGAATGCATGATTTTTGTAATTTTTTATTTACATTTTTATATTTTACTTTCCCTCCTCCCACTTTTGTAATATATCAGCAGTCTTTTGGATTAGTTCCAATGACTGCTGAGTATTGATTTTAAGATAACACATCATCATAAAATAAAATCTGTATTGAAATCTAAAAGCTCAAGGTAGATCACTGTAACTGCACTTAAGGCAGATTTTTAAGTTAATACTCTGATTGAAAGAAAACTGAAAGTATCTATAAAAAGATTCTCATATTATGTATTCTTTTATGTTCCTGATCATGTATTATTTCTGATAAGAGATGCCTGCCATCTGTTGCCACTTGAAAAGCCTCCTATTGCTGAATTCTGAGAATGTGATCTCTTCCGTAATTACAGTTGCTAATGTGTCTTGAGTGGATGTAATATATATTTATCCCTTGCGTGACTCTGTAAGAGGAGTGGAGGCAGTGGAAAGAGTGGAGGAGGAAGGATATGGGGAATAACACACTGAAGCTGACAGTTGTGATGGTAGATGAGAAGCAGTGAAGTAAGTAGGCCAGGTTGCATAGCGTGTATATACATTTCCTGTACTTCAAAAATCTGCTGTTCTATTACTTCTTACTCCTATTGCTTCTCTTCCTAAACAGAACCTCTTAAAATGCCAGCTCCAATTTAGTATTGGTGCTTTATGGCAATTTTCAATCATCATTGCTTGAAGTCAGGAAAACCTTACTCTTGTATCTATGCACTGTTTGCTTTCACCTTCAAAGCTGAAGGCAGATAACGCCAAGATCTGTCTCCATCTTGATAGAAGCAGGTTGCTTAATTTCTATGATCTATTGAATTCCCATTTGTATATTTTAAATGAACTTTCATTTTCTTTCCTTATATATACTCCTGCAACAAAGCTCTTTAGCAGGCTTCTACAAGAAAGATCTGAAGATGTTACAGGTAGTGTTTACAAGAGGGGATTAATAATGGATGTACTGCAAATCAAAGCATTGAAGATAAGACATAGTTTGCATTTGTTGATCTGCAGTTGGCATACTGAGAAGGAAAAACATGTATTTATTGTCATCTTTCCGAGTTTGCTGTGACCTTGCTGTATTAAGGGCTCCATTTTGGAGAAACAATAAAAGCATGAAATATTGGCTGGATCACTTAGTTAACTTTGCTAATGTCTCCACCGCCTCCCACTGTCCTATTAAGTAGACCAGGTTCCTGATTACCTACATTAACTGAAACATAAGAGTATTACAGATAATTGGGAATGTTTTTCTGAAGTCCTCCTAAATTTAACTCATAGATAGTTTATGCACGTGTTTTCTTTCCATCGTATATTTTTAGCTTAAAAAACTCTGATTTCTCCTTATCTTATAAGTAGCAGTTATACTGCCCTCTCAGACCAGGATGTGATAGGTGAATATAGGCAAGACAGATGTTTTTTCATTCATGCTCAGTGGTCTCCTAATTGTGATAACCTTTCCTGGTACTTGGTCCAGTTTCATGCCATTCTTCCTTAATGTGTTGAACTAGAATTCAACATTAATTCAGAAGATGTTTCACCATTGGCTTACAGAATTGAACTGACAGCAGACTGTGGCTATTGATATTGACCCATGACACATTCTAGTTTAATATATATCTGGTTATGGCTGCAGGAAAGATTGCTGAAGTTTGAAACTTGTGCTTTGACATGTTTAAAAGGAAGGAACCATATATGGGGAATTTTATATTAAGTTATGGTGACTATGAATTCAGATCTACTATGAATCTAATCAGGCTTGACATTTACCAAAAATGAAATATGAGTATCATTGCAGGGATCATGGCCATCTTCTTTGCAGTGTTATGTTACACTAACGGGTAGACAAAAATGTAGATGAATTTTTAAAGTACAACAAAATACTGCATATTACAACTCTGTAGTCTTTTGCCTTTTTACTGACAAACTAGTATTTATCTTATTTAGCTGATTTTATTAAAGGAATAACATTCAATTATTTACTTGATTTTCAAAGTGTCTTCCTTAATTTGTTGCTTTATAAGCATCTGTTGTCAAGTTAAAAGTTAAAGAAAAGAACTAATTTCCATAATTTGGGTATTTCTATAGCTCTGTGGCTGCAGACACTTTGATAGATCAGTTGTGTGATCATTTTTGGCTAAAATTTAGCAAGCAGGTGGTAGTTGTTCGACTGTTCAGGACACTAATACAGGCAGTTTTAATACAGGCTCCAAATCTAAGCAATGTATAAGAGAAAATATTTAAATAAAACCTTATATTAAAATGTCTTAGTATCTAGCCCTGGCTTTAAACATGTGTCTAATAACTTTGAACTTTTTTTATGATTAGATGCCAAACAGATTGAATGGCTCTGGGTTTTTTTAAAAATGTATTTAACATTTTTATAGTACTTACATTTTGTGAATTTTCTAAGAAAGTTAAGTCCTGTAGCAGCTGGGAGGAGGTGGTGTTTGACGTTCCTCATTCCTCTCTGCAAAGTGAAATGATGGAAAATAAATTATCACAATTTGTGTGAAGAGGTGTAGGACCCAGTTTTGAGTCACTCTGTCTCCAACTGTGTTGATATTTCTCCTGCCTTCTTGAAGTCCTTTTGTTCCTCATTATGTCTTTCACTAATAACATACAACACAGAAATTTTGAACTGTCATCTTTGCTGTTTTGACAACTTACTGCAGAAGATAATTCATTTTGTGTAGACTGAAGCAGGTGTTCCATGGAAAAGTATCAGATAGATCAGTTCTCTTGTTGTACCATAAAAGGTAAGTATGTGAGGGAAATAAAGATTAAATGGGTAGAGGTAATACTACTATGTCCTGATTGTTACTTCTAAGTTATCTCAAACATTTGTGTTACTTTTTACATGTAATTTATGAACAGTGGTGTCTTTTACTTTGCATTGAAATGAGTAAGACTCGTGGAAAAGTAAATGAGGTTTGCTTTGGGGTTGGACACCCTAGTGCAACAACTAGTACTTGTGTGACTGCAGCCCAAGTAGTTTCTCTTTAACCTGTGAGTCAAGTCTCCTCAAGAAAGAGCAAAGTACTATTGAGCAAAAAAGATCAAAGAAATGAGTAATACATGGTCATTTTCAGAGAATATTTTGATGAAAGTGATGTGACATTAGAGTTGTCTTTGTTTTTTATTACCTGATGACTGACATTACCATTAATGATGATCTAAATTCTCTAAAATAACATGACAGACTTTATTTCAAAAAACTTGGCTGAAGGTCACATTATTCATACTTTGCTTGACTTGTCTAGTCACGTCTTTGACTTTTGAACACGAATAAATTGTTAAAAACTTAAGAGTAATGTATAGTGATTAGTGAATACTAGGTATTTCTGACTTAAAAATCTGATTAGCATAAAGCCCATCACTAAAGCAGTTTCTTGGGGAATAATACTGAAGACTGAATTATACTCACTAGGTACAGGCAATTTTATTGCAGAAATACTCAGGCAGAGCTTATTTTGGTTACCAGTTGATTGCAAAGAGGAAGAGAAAAAATATCTCACTCATTTGTCTAGTTATAGAACCACGACTAGAGACTTAAAAAAAAAAAAACAACCAAAAAAACAAAAACAAACAAAAAAATCACCCAAAACAATCCTTCCAGTTACCAACTCACAAAGTCAGTTTAAAACTGGGATCATGAGCTTTGGGGTTTTGGATTTTTTTGTTGTTTGTTTTGGTTTTTTTGGTGTGGTTTCTGTTTTGTTTTTTGTTTGTTTTTTGTTTGTTTGTTTGTTTGTTTGCTTGTTTGTTTTTTGGGGTGTGTGTGGGTTTTTTGTTGTTTCTGTTTGGGTGTGGGTTTTAGTTTTTTTGGTTTTTTTTTAATTTTCTTCAGTATTCTTGTGGGGATAGTAATACTTTTGTATTAAAAATTTTTAGATGTCTGTCTTGAAGAGGCTTTTACTTCTTGTCCACAAAATAAGGTAGGTTTATTTATTGTTGTTGTTCTTTTTTGCTAGTTCTTCAAAACAGTGCTTAAAACAAATAGACTTTGACTCGGGGAATATTTCAGAGATAAAAATCTAATAGCAGCCTAGAGCTTCAGGTACTGTTCCAGTTGTCCTTCTCTTTTCATCTTCCCTTTTGCTTAGTTGTATGACTCTGGCTTTGTAAATGTCTTTTGTAGGCAAAGTATTGATGCCAGAAGCAGTACCTCTGACACAAACCTCCAATAATTTCAGATGCTGGGAAGAAATCATTAACTTGCCTGCATCTTATAAAGTTATACCTTCTAAAGAAAGCTCCTGATTCATTAGGGAACAGTGAAATGTCCCAGCACCCCCACTCCTTCCTCCTCCTCTCCCCAAAAAGCCCCATAATATTGGGCTATGTAAACACAAAATTTGCTTACTTTAGGAAGGCATGGTGACTTTCTAATCCCTTCATGAAAGGTAAGTACATTCTGATAATATAACTTTCATATAGTCCTTGTAATATCCTAGTTTTTATCTCGATTGACTAACCTCATCTTCTGTGACAAGGTGACCCGCTTAGTGGATCAGGGAAAGGCTGTGGATGTTGTCTGCCTAGACTCTAATAAAGCCTTTGATACTGTTTTCCACCGCATTCTCATGGAGAAATGGGCTCATGGCTTGGATGGGCATACTCTTTGCTGGTTAAAAAACTGGCTAGGTCACTGAGCTCAAAGAGTTGCGGTGAATGGAGTTAAATTCAATTGGTGTCAGGTCATGAGTTCCCCAGGGCTCAGTACGGGGGTCAGTTCTGTTTAATATATTCATCAGTGATCTGGATGGGGTGATCAAGTGCACCCTCAGTCAGTTTGCAGAAAACCCCAAGTTGGGTGGGAGTCTTGATCTGCTTGAGATTCCACGCTACAGAGGGATCTGGACAGGCTGGATTGATGGGCCAAGGCCAACTGAATGACATTCAACAAGTCTAAGTGCTGGATCCTGCACTTGTGTCCTAACAAACGCATGCAACACTACAGACTTGGGGAAGAGTGGTTGGAAAGGTGCCTGATGGAAAGGGACCTGAGAGTGGTGATCAACAGCTGGCTGAATATGAGCCAGCAGTATGCCCAGGTGGCCAAGAAGGCCAACAGCATCCTGGCTTGCATCAGAAATTGTGTGGCCAGCAGGACTAGGGAAGTGATTGTCACGCTGTACTTGGCACGGGTGAGGCCACGCCTTGAATAGTATGTTCAGCTTTGGGCCCCGCACTACAAGACAGACACTGAAGTGCTGGAGCATGTCCAAAGAAGGGAAACAGAGCTGTTGAAAGGGCTAGTGCACAAGTATTACAAGGAGTGGCTGCGGTAATTGGAGTTGTTTAGCATGGAGAAAAGGAGAGTCAGGGGAGACCTTACTGTTCTCTACAAATACCTGAAAGGAGTTGTGTGGTGGATGTCGGTCTCTTTTCTGAAATAATAAGTGATAGGACAAGGGGAAATGGCCTTAATTTGCACCAGGAAAGGTTTAGACTGGATATTAGGAAAAATTCCTTCACCAGAAGGGTTGTCAAGCACTGGAACAGACTGCCCATGGAAGTGGTTGAGTCACCATCCCTGAAGGTATTTAAAAGATGTGTAGATGTGGCACTTAGGGACATCGTTTAGTGGTGGACTTGGCATTGTTAGGTTAACGGTTGGACTCCATGATCTTAAAGGTCCTTTTCAGCTTAAATGATTCTGTGATCTTTAGTGAAATTAACTTAATCCTGTGTTTTGAAACAGTGATTATGAAGGAACTGAGAATGGGTTGTAACTGGCTGGAAACTCAAATAGTGGAGAATGTTACACTGGTTATAAGAGTCAGGCTGTTAACCCACACTTAGTTGTGGCAGGCAGGTAAGTCCTTAAAAGAAACATTGGGGTAGTAACTTACCTTATTAACTATGTGCACTCTGTGGCTTACCTGAATAATTATGTGACTTATTGGAAAGGTTAGGTGGTTAAACCCATTTTTCTAGTGGTAGACGTAGCTCATATTTTAGATGTAGTAGTAAATTAAGGCTCTTTAGAGTAAATGTCATATTTTAAGATAACATGAGCTTTGAGAGGCTATATTCTTCCCACATGTTTCCAGTTTCCAGAACACAGAGTAAAAGATACCACAGCTGAGTTATTCTTTGGAGGTTTACCCTGTGTTTAAGTAGATTTGGTAGGCTGTTCTGGATTTGGAAAAGGAGGGAAAGTGTTTGGTCTAGCTTTAAAGGAATTTAAAAAATAGATACGATGATGTCTTGGGTTTGAGTTAGTGGTGGGTTTTTTTGATAGCAGGGGAGGGGGCTATAGGGGTTTACACCTCTGAGAAGCTTGTTGAAGCTCCCCCAGCTCCAAGTCAACTCCACCTCTGCACCAAAATTGAGCCAATCAGCTGTGTGAACACCAAGGTCAGGGGAGGAACGGAGGAAGAAAGGAGAGGGGAGGTGTGCTGGAGCAGAGACCCCCATATATCCTCTGGTGAGACAGCAGGGTGGATACCCCGTGCCATCCATGAAGATCTATGGTGGAGCAGACGTTGATTTATGGCATGTGTTTTGTTTTGTATGGATGATCAAGGTGTCTGTACCCGAAGAAGGCTGGAGTCTTGTGGGAAAAGGTAGCCCCGCTGTTGTAGTTTAGCGCTGGGAGGATTGCAGCATGCTGGGGTGTCCTACGCCAGAGCAGCTCGGGAAGGGCTGCAGCCCATGGGAGGGAATCCAGTTGGAGAAAGTTGGTGCCCCACACTGGAACAGTGTAAGGAAATGCAGCCCATGGGAGGGACTCATGTCAGAGAAAGTTTGTGGAGGACTGTCTCCTGTGAGAGGGGGGACCATGCTGGAACAGGGGGAAGAAGTTCTAGAAGCTCCCCCCCGCTCCCCCCCAAGATGGAAGAAGCAGCAGCACTGACAGCACCCCCAATTCCCTGTCCCCTGCACCACTGAGGGAGGAGGTAGAGATATCGGGAGCAGAACTGAGCCCGGGAAGAAGGGAGGGGTGGGGGGTAGGTGTTTTCAAGATGTGGCAATGCTTCTCACTGTTCTGCTCTGTTAAGTGTTGTTAGTATCTGTCATAAGTCTCTGTTCTTTTTTTGTTCCCCTAAGGAGTCTGCCTTTTACTTGTGTCCATAATGGGTGATCTGCCCCTCCTGGTCCTATCTTGAATCTCAGACCTGGCTCATTTGTCCCTTCTCATTGTGGGGAGAGAGGGGGTATGTGAGCGGCCGTGTGGTGCTCGGTTGCCCTATAAGCTGATACCACCACAGATGACTTCCAGGCTTGATGACTATTGTATTTTTTTTTTTTTATTTGGGACAAATAAACTGCAAATACAAAACTGTAAACTTCACAGAATGCTTGTTTAGCAGATTGTCCCTTGGATTTCCTTAGGGATCATCTGTACCATCTTAGACCTGGGTACATGAAAATAAAGTTGCATCATGCATATCTATTTCTCTTACTTTCTGAACTGTAGCTGAAGTATGTATCTAATTGTCAGCAATTTACTTTGGTTTGGCTTTCATGTGCTCCACAAGCATTGCTGTGAGAGTCTAAAGAGAGATAACTATTTCTAAGCATGCAGTGAAATGCTCTATTTTGATAGTCTTATAGAGAGAAAATAATACTTGATTATTGGTCATCTGAGAAATAACTTCTTGAAAGAATTGTTCCTGATGAAGATCCAGCCTGTGTTCTGCACCCCTTGTCTAAGTATTTCCTTTTTGCAGGGCTGAAGAACAGCTCACATTTACTTTGCTTAGAATCATAGAATGGTTTGTGTTGGAAGGGACCTTAAAGGTCATTTAGTCTAACCCCCTGCCATGGGCACATCTTTCACTAGATGGTGTTGCTTAGAGCCCCTGACCCTGGACAATTCCAGAGCTGGGACATCCACAACTTCTCTGGGCAACCTGTTCCAGTGTCTCACTACCCTCAGTGGTAAAAACTTTTTTCCATATATTTAATCTAAAGCTACCCTCTTTCAATTTAAAATCATTGCCTCTTGTCGTGTCATTATGGGCCCTGGTAACAAATCTCTGTCCATCGTTCTCATAAGCCCCGTTTCAGTACTGAAAGGCTACAATAAGATCTACTCAGAGCCCTCTCTTCACGCTGAACAGCCACAACTCTCAGCCTTTCTTCATGGGAGAGGTGTTCTGTCCCTCTGATCACTTTTGTGGTCCTCCTCTGGAGCTGCTGTAATGGGCCCGTGTCTTTCTTATATGGAAGGACACAGAGCTGTACTCTGAACATACTCCGGGTGGGATGTCGTGCGAGCAGAGTAGAGGGGGAGAATTGCCTCCCTTGATCTGCTGGACTGTTGTGGTTTAGGCCTGATTGGCAGCCAATCACAATGCAGCACCTCTCTCTCCCTTCCCTTCCGGCAATGAGAAGGGACAGAGAGCCAGGCTTGGGGTTTAAGATAGGACTGGGATGGGGGAAAATCCCCCTTTTATGATCACGAGCAAAAGGCAGACTCGTTAGGGGAAGGAAAAAAAAACCCATACATTTATTACAGACACTAACAACACATAACAGAGTAGGACAGTGAGAAGCATTGCCACATCTTGAGAACACCTTCCCCCCACCCCTCCCTTCTTCCTGGGCTCAGCTCTGCTCCCGATATCTCTACCTCCTCCCCCAGTGGCACAGGGGCAGGGAATGGGGGGTGCAGTCAGCGCTGCCACTTCCTTCATGTTCGGTGAGGGGAGTGTCCGAAACTTGTTCCTCCTGCTCCATCGTGGTCCCCCTCTCACAGGAGACAGTCCTCCACAAACTTTCTCCGACTTGAATTCCTCCCATGGGCTGCAGCGTTCCCCACACTTCCCCGTCATGGGTCACTAACTTCCTCCGACTGGATTCTCTCCCACGGCTGCAGCCTTTCCCGAGCTGCTCCGGCGTGGGACACCCCTGCATGCTGCAATCCTCCCAGCACTGAATTACAGCAGCGGGGCTACCTTTTCCCATGAGACCCCGGCCTTCT